AGCGTATGCGGCTATGGCATCATAAGTCATCCCAGCGTATGCGGCTATGGCATCATAAGTCATCCCAGCGTATGCGGCTATGGTATCACAAGTCATCCCAGTGTACGTTGCTATGGCATCATAAGTCATCCCAGTGTACGTTGCTATGGCATCATAAGTCATCCCATTGTATGTTGCTATGGCATCCGAAGTCATCCCAGTGTACGTGGCTATGGCATCATAAGTCATCCCAGTGTATGTTGCTATGACAACATAAGTCATCCCAGTGTACGTGGCTATGGCATCATAAGTCATCCCAGTGTACGTAGCTGTGGTATCATAAGCCATCTTAGCGCTTTAAGGAAGCACCTCACATCACACCGTAGTGTTTGATGTTTGCCTATGTATGCCCGAACCAATCTTGCGCACGTGTGTCCTAGCAGGCCACTTCTGTCGATTGCGCCAGTCCCTCGAACCGAGGAGGTAATGCTTAGTCAAGGGTGTTAAGCCAGCCACTTCCAGTACTACTCGCACCGGTTGAGAGTGTGCTGCGTATACAATCCCCCGCCGGAGTACACCAGTGAGTTGCCTGGTGATCTATATTTAGGCCTGTAGGTACTCGAGCGGCCTTGCACCGCAATGGATCAACTAAGGGATGTTTTGGTACGAAAACCGCCCCTTAAATATGTATACTTCTAGACTCTTGAAGTTCTGTAGAGTTTTTGACTGGCTGAACGCAATCGTGTTCCATGCCATCAGTATGTATACTTACAGACTCCTGAAGTTCTGAAGAGTTACTGACTGGCTGAACGCAATCGTGTTCCATGCCAGTTCGAATTTAATACCGAACAGTAAGATCACTGAGGAGTGCGGCGGTGTGCTTGCCGCAAGTGAACATGTCACATTAAAGTATGCTGGAGTCAGGTGCAACGGACAACTACCCAAAACCATGAAACTAAAACCAATCTCGCGTCAAGCTGTGTGTGGTTAACGCGTGTTACTATAGGGACTTCTGACCTTTAAAGCAAATACCACGAGAATGTTTAGTCTGTATGTATTTGCCTCAAGGTTCGGGTCTCTTATAGATCCGAATCAGCCGGTTGGTATCATGTATGTATCTATGGCAAACTACCTTTCTCATACTCGCTCTCTACCCCATGACATCACCATGTTTATAGGAAGCCCACTACCAACCACTGCAATGATTCCAGAGGCAAGCCGCATTGTATCTTCACTTTGTAACAAGACACTCGTACTTAAGTGTAAGTGTACATGTAGCATGCCCGGGAGCTGAAGTTCGCACCTCTTTAGTTGTCGACCACATTTGTACGCGAGTTACTCACAGTAGATCCACGTTGTTATTGAGTATATAGTAAACTGAAAGGTCTCCACATGTTGGGACGGGGAAAGCGATCGCAATAAGATAAACGTTGTTTATTATTTTAAACGGACAGCTGTGAATCCCCGGTCGGTCGAAGATTCCAAATAATTCGATAGCATCAAGTACAACTTGTGGTCTCGCACGCGCTTGATCTAGCTTAGCTTCAGATATAATATGATGAAGACGATGAGGAGTATCACAGCAATGATGATGTAGTACATCATATGGTTCACCCACGCCCTGCAACGATAGAATAAAGGATAGTGCGAATGTTACTAAAGCACATTAAGCTCCCAGAGGCACCCAAATGCCCTCACATTCGATACCAATTGGAGCAAGCCCAACAGCTACCTTCATGCCTACTGTACTATACAAACACAGACCATAACCAATCCGCGACAGATGAGATATCGTTGGAGCACAGAACGACGATCAGCCGCAGCGGACCTAACGAATGCTAAGTAGGTGAAGACTGTTTGTTTGCAAGTGTTGAATAGCGTGATGATTGCTCGATGAGCCTATCGTTACTCTGTGTGTCACAGGCCCATTTCCGCTCCTAAGCACAAAGATGTGTTGACTTAAGAACAAAGATGTGGTGACTTAAGCACAAATATGTGGTGACTTAAGCACAAATATGTGGTGACTTAAGCACAAAGATGTGGTGACTTAAGCACAAAGATGTGGTCACTTGAGCACAAAGACGTGGTGAATTAAGCACAAATATGTGGTCACTTTAGCAGAAAGATGTGGTGACTTAAGCACAAAGATGTGGTGCTTTTCGGATTGTCACGTTGGGAAGGACGTACAAGATACATTTACATGCCCCACTGTACTATAAAATAAACCGCTGCGCAAACAAGTAGGTGGATATGCTAGTCACTTTTTGTGAATTGTAGGCACTTTTTGACTGTGGATTGTAGGCACCTTTCGGCTCTACCGCAACTCACCTCCTCAGCATGCCTCGCAGCGTCCTATCACTTCTGTAGAGATTCGAGCTCGTATCGTCAAGCTGTGGAAAACAAAGGAACGTACAACACAGTTGCAATCAATACTAGGGTCAACACTAAACACGTGACTTCCTGGACTGTTCCAAGACATCGAGAAATGCGATATACACGCCAGGCGATGTATGCAGCGCTGTCAACACCACCGATCAACGCGACATAGCCATGACTAATACGTACGACACTATCTGCCACTGCATCAGGCCCACGATTCTGCGTACGCCCACAATTTTTTGAGTACCGCAAACCGACCCAGCGTATGTATACCCCCCCACAACTGACACACAAGGATTGGAGCACAGGATACCACCCACTCACAACTGACACACAAGGATTGGGGCACAGGCTACCACCCACTCACA